AATTTAGTAAAAATCTCCATATAATTGGACCTTCATGAAGCATTCTAATATTTTGTGCAATCACTTAAGAAACATAGTAACAAAACCCTTATACAGTCACAGTCGCTTATACTTTTCCAAAAGATTCATAAATGACAAACCATGTGATTATATGGAGGGTTTAGTACATGACAATTGAGAACACATAAAAAAAGAAAAGCTATAGAAAAAAAAAATAAAACGAAACTAAGGAACCAGCCCGGCTTACTTTTAATCAATTTTCAGCCTTCTAGAAATGTCTCATATTCGGGAAACTCCGTTACTTGGCAAATTCTTTATAGAATTCCTGATATAATTTTAGAAAAAGACTTGTTTATAGAAATGAAATTCCATTTATTTTTTTTTCTTGGATTCACAATTATCCCGTGTTTTTCTATGAGGCATACACTGAAACAAGATGTAGGCGGAGTAAAACCTGTTTCGATTGCTGCTTTAATGGGAAGTCAAGCTTTAAAAGATAGAATGAGAAGAGAGAGGTATAGCTGAAGCAGGGGAGATTATGTGAGAAAATTGTATTATGTGTATAGGTAAAAACGCTTCAAATGTCGTCGTTTCCAAATATCAATTGATATATACTTTCTATAACAAAATACTACGCATAGGCCCTTTTTTGAAGCCTTGAGAATTTCATTAATTTACCGATCAAACTTAAAAATCTTTGATTTTCATATTGGTATGTATACTCGTACGTGGCTTACCAAATATGGAAAATTTTGTTTTTCTAGAAAAAGGGTATCCGACCAGCCGGTCACAAATCACTGGCAATAGAATTTTTGTATACATGTAATTTTCGCAAGATCGGTGAACTTTTTTTACCTTAAAATAGAATCGTGTGTTAATTTAATGCATACCGATACATTTGAATACATTTGAATCCGATAAAATATATTTTTTTATTATTTACAAAGAAAATGTCATCCTATGAAATATATTAATGTATAAAAAAAGATTTCAAGGGTTTTTCTATCGAATGAGACGACGACAGGTTTAAAATGGGATAAATGTAGATGATCTGATTTCGACGATTTATTTTATTGGATTATGAAAATATTTCTTATGGATTTTTTGTGATTGAATAAATTAACGAGAGCATAATCTGAGAAAGAAGGAAAGCAAAGAAATATCTTAACGCTTTGGGAGACTTTTTTTTGTTTTTGAATTGGAATCATAATAAATCAAGTGTCGATTTTTTGATCTCATTCTGAGGGAAACTGAAACTGCAATAAGCGAAAATCTATCTTTTTAATCTAAACAAACTTTTATATATCTCTAATTTAGGATAACACATGATCAAAAAATAAATAAAAATTACTATTGTCACTATCGATAAGACTATTGTCATTGTCATTGTTGATATCTTCGTCCTCATGTTGATTCAAATATTGTTCAAATTCATAGACAAAAGGAACCATTGGGTCATTGACCCTTGAAAAAGCTTTTGTCGAATTAGTATCAAAGAATTGTGCCGAAGGAGTTATATTAAATATTGAAGACATTGATTCTTGTTGTTGTTCTGGTAGCGGTGAGTATGGTATCAATGGAGTGTTTGGAGAATGCGATGAAGGGGAGTGCATTAAAGATGGTGGTGATGATGATGATAGTGAAGAAAGGGGATCAAATGGCGCTGTTAACAACAGTTCATGAAAGTTGACGTACTCAATGTTTAAATTGTTGTTGTTTAATTCTTTTGGTTCTTTTTCATCTTCTATAAGATTTTTATTTATTGAGGGAATTATAAAATTTGGAGACAAAAGTGGGCAATTAATCGATGACGTTGAAGAAGAAAATTCTGAAAGTAAAAGTGATTCGACGTTCTCGTTAATCGTTTCTGACATCGAATTTGGAGAATTATTAATCTTGTCATCTAATTGAGAGGATGTTAATGACTTTTCATTATTTTCTTTTTGTTGATGTGACGATGATTTCTTGTATGGAGAAGAGCTTGCAGCCCTCGATTGCTTTTTAGTTTTAATTTTACCACCAATGCGTTTGTCATCATCGTCGTTATCATTATCCTTATCCTTATTATTATTATTCCCGTCAGTATCCGCTTCACCATCATTCTGTATACTTAATTCATACTGAAGTTTAGCAAGTTTTGCCACGCGTTTATACTCCGTTCTAACAACGTCTGACTCCGATTTCCACGACTGCGAAGCCATCGTCGATACCATAGTCATTGGTAACCGATACCCCTCCTCACGAGCTGCCTTCACAAACGCACGTCGATAGATAATAAAAGCGTTCGGCATCTTACTTCTAGTCGATGCATCTTTTTTTGTGGTGACCAGCAAATCCTCGAGACTAAATTTTGGTGGGAACGGAAGCTGGAAAAATGGTTTTGCGGAGGACTCATGGTCACCGCTGTTACCGTCGTTTGTAGACGAAATTAGCTTGTTAGGATTTATTGGGTCGTTGGAGTTTATAAATATGTACGGACGGTGTTGTTCACCGTGCGGTTTTTGGGTACTGGAAGTGGTAGAAGACATTTTTTTCAACGAGTTTTTGGTTGAGAGATTAAATGTTCACTTTAATTATTTTTTTATAGAGAATTTTTATTTCCCGTGTTTCTTTTATTTTTTTGGCTTTTAACTACTGAAAAAAAAAAGCTAAGTGTTTTTTTTGAGAAACCATAACAAACGAAAACCTCCACCAGTTGGTATTCGGATATTTATAGAAAATTCAATCATATAATCATACACAAACAACAAACATTAAATCCCTTTTAACATACTCTAGCAAATAATTGCATACATGTTTCCTGATATGCTGCCAATTATTATCCGAGAATGAATTAGTATTAATATTATTTGATCTAGAAAAATTTCGGACTATTATTAATGTTAATAATATATGACTGTTCTTGGCATGCACGCCGATCAATCTTAAAATATCTTTTTTATTAAACATCCCATTAATATTTTACATAAAAGAAACAAACATGATTTTTTAAAATTCTAAGTTTTTTTCGACTTTTTGCTCCGAGTTACTTTACAAAAATTGATTTTCTTGGCATTTTCCATATCGAAACCTCCTACTAATTACGTAAGTTTTTTTGGAGTCACATTAAATTACGGGTATTTAATTTATCACCAGCGTACACGGAATTTTTCCGAAATTTATTAGTGATTAAAAAAGTGGTGAAGCGCTCATTGTCCGCTTAGTTTATTTGTTACTCTTTGTGATCTCATGGTTTTTGGGCACAATTGTCTGAATTTTAATTGTACATGTGCATGTGTGACAGAAACCCTGGGGGGTTCGCGATATAAATACCACAGAAACAGAAAATTCTATGTTGTAAAAATTTTTTCTTAATGTTGTCGATTTTTACCAAAAGCACTAAGACCATTTGTGGGATCAACAGTTTTTTTGGGACACAGTATTTTGCATATATGCATTGATGCATTGTGATGTTGTTATTTTTCGGCAAAAAATCCTATCGTTTCCGACTCATGGTGTTTAGATTTGGCCGGAGTTAGGGATCAAATCCGGCCTATGTGACGAAAATCTTATATTTTAACGTGGCTAAATACTGGTGGTTAATAATAGATAATCCCTTTCCATTTGTTACTCTTTTTCCCGTTTTGGTATAACAAACAATGATTTATCTGATAACGATGATGCCAAGAATGTTGTAACATTTTTTATTATGCATTATATTCTAAAAATAGAATATACATGTAACTTTATTACTCGAATTTCGTTATAGCTTCGATTAACTGCATGCGCGCCTTTGCAGTCGCATCTCATTTTTTAAAAGACATTAATATGTTCTTTATTACTGTAGATCAACAAATCAGTTTCATTCTCAACTTGTACTTTTTTTGTTTATATTTATTTGTATTATCTATCCAACTTAGATAGAAGTGGAGATTAGGCAAGAGAATTAACCAATGAATAAAAGTGCATGGATTATTAATTCATGAATAAAATAATGACTTTTTTGTGGGAAGACTTTTCCTCAGGAAATTTTTTTTACGTCATGTCCTGCAAAATCTGCTTTAGCATCAAAAAAACATAAAAAGGACAATCATGACGATCATCCTTCCACAGAGAAAATCCTGAGTTCAAAAATAAATTATGTTGCACCAATGTTATGCCAAGTCCCTCGTTGCCCTCTTTAAGGATTTAAGTTTCGTTAATAATAGTAATTTTTCCAGTTTAGCTTACAACACGTAAAACTAAAACCATAAAAACTGTTTAAATTTATAAACTTTTTTGTGACTGCCAAGGTTAACGGAGAAAGATACCCACCCAAAAGGAGCATTTTCGCGCGCATAACGAATTTGCATAAATATTAACCCTCGCCTCATTTTTTCGAGATGTTAAAAAAAAGTGAACTAACATTTTTAGAAGAACAGAGTGATCAGCAACTAATTACAAGAATAAAGTGAAAAATGTCCGATTTATCAAGATTTGAACAAGAAGTCAAAGAAGATAAGTCCTACATCTTCATCAACTCACTCTCACCAATCACCCGT